TTTCTTTCTTTTTCTTTTTCTTCCTCCTTCCTCTTTCCTTCTGATCTATCTATTTATCTATCTATCCATCTATCCAATCTAAATTTACTTATTTTTCACATTTCTAAACCGTCCACCTCCTTCAAAGAGGGGCTCTGTTCTCTGAGCAGGAATAATAAAAGCAAAATTCATGAGAAAGCAAACCACAAGGGAAAACACCTGGGAAAGACATTCTGCGAATAACCCAGATGAACGGGAGAAAGCAAAGCTACTTGCTCAGTGCTTCCCCTAAGTCAAGGATCCCCACGACTCTGGGGTCAACTTCTACCTATTTCTGAAGACTTTTCAGCCAGCCTCCCACTCAGCCCTGCTCAGAACAGCCTGAAAGACTCCTATCATGGCCCTAAGCCTCTGTGCAGAGGTGGTTTGGATGATCATCAGAGAAGATTGGCTGGTCATGTTGACCTCAGAATCCAACTTGGGATTTAGCATTAAAATCAAACTCAGAAGGTTAGGTCTGTTCCCCAGGATCAGTCAGGCTTTTTTCTCTGAATTTAAAGAGAAGCATCTGGGGGTGACCAAGAACCAGATTTTGCATCTTGGAAGATCAAAGGCTACTCCAGGGAGGTGTTGGTCAAAGGTGGAGAAGCCAACCTGCAGGGCTTGCAAAGCTTGGTTGGACCTGCCTGTTTCAAAACGTATTTTCTTCATTAACAGGTAATGATTAATTCTCTTTGGAACAGAAAGACTGCCACGGGGCACGATGGTTGTTCTTCTTAACTAGCTCATCAATCATTGAACTCCGAGTTTAAAAAAAATTGGCTTTCTCCATCCCTTTTAAAGAAACGTTCTAAAAATACATATTCTGACAATCCAGCTTGGCATTTGCTAAGTCTAAACGTTACACTCAGTCATCACTTGCGTAACTGTGGTTTGTTCGTTAAGCCTGCTTATACCACCCAGACAAATGGTTGGCCAATGTTTTCTTGAAAACCTCCAGCGATGGAGCACTTACAACTAACTCCAGGAGGCAAACTGTTAGGTTGATTATTCGTTCTCCCTGTCATGAATTGTGAGTTATAAGATGAATTGTGTCTAAGGAAGGGTGCCGCTGAATGCATTGTGCTGGAATAACATACCGCTAACCCATGCTTCAGTTAGCTTGGCAAACACCAGAGCTAGCAACCCGCTCCTTTTTTTAAAAAAAAAGAAAGAAAGAAAATATTTGGAAATCAGGATTTTTAAACAGCTTTGCACTTTTCCAAGGGGGCAGCGAGTTGATGGCCCAGCTCCAAATCCTTGTGTTTAACAGAAGCATACATGTCAACAGTGAGGCAGTGAAAGCACGTTGCTAGGTTCTCAACGAAAAATCAAAACACAACAGCATTTTCCCAGGCTGAGGGATGAAAGAGAGGCGAAGGGCAATTAACCCGCTACATTAATTTATTTCTGAAGAAGGGCTGTTGGAAAAGATGTGGGAATCCAGGCCATCAGTCCAGTTCAGTGGAATGGAAGAGCTGCCCATTTAAGTCCAGTTAAAGATATGACTTTTTCATGGGGAAGGAAATTTAGGTGAAACGGAAGAACCGAAGGAGCCTCTTAGATATCTGAGAAGCAAAACGTTTTCAAGGGAAGAGAAAAAAACAAACAAGGAAGCCCAGCTGCCTTTTGGGAAAACACCTTTAGGACAACCTTGGGATGACTGACAATCTCTAGAGACATTTGGGTGAAAATGCAGGGATCCAACTTTCAAGTTTGAAAGCCTCAAATGACTTTATGGCCCTCATCGCTATTAATCCCCTGTGGTTTATTGTTGTTGTTGTTTTCAAAGTTACTGCCAATCTGCTTTGTGCAAAATTAACACAAATCACCTCCGCAGAGGAGAATATGTTTCACCGACCAAGTGGCCGGTTTGTTAAGTTTGAGGCATGGCAGGAGATTGACAGATCAGCAACAATAGGGCACTTCAGACCCCGCCATGCTGTGGGGTTAGTGAGCAGAGGAGGGAACTGGTTCCAAGAGCCAAAAAAAAGAGAGGTCAAATTAGTGATTAGCTTGGACACTTGATAGAAGAAACAGACCTCTGAATTTGAGTTTGCCGGCTAGGGAATTCTAGGAGTTGAAGTCAGAAGAACAGAACTGGAAGGGACCCTGGAAGTCAGAAAACCCTATCCCCATTCAGACAAACCCAATCTCTTCTTTAAAACCTCCGGTGTTGGAGCGCCCACAACTTCTAGAGGCAAATCTTTCTTTGCCAAGTTTGAAAAACACCAGACTAAGACACCCAGCTATTCAGCGAACCAGCAATAAATGTTGAGAATTGCCAGTTATCGGATTTGCCAGCTTGCTAAAGAAGCATTCAGGAAAGAGAGATAAAATAACAACAACAGCAAACTGGGCCTTTGCTTATTTTACTGCAGCTGGGAAATATAATTAGTGAAAAGATAGATTCTGATTTTTACTCTTCCCCCGTCTGGATGCGAAGGCTTCCCGGTTAATTGAATGCATTCGATCGCTTCTCTTCCAGCATCTGGAAGGACATATGGTGAAAAATCAGTCACACGTTTTAAAGGCTCTGTTGCCCATCTGCTATGAACTTCCACCTCTGGGCTGGAAACAAAAGACCTTTGAATGTTCCCAAAGTGTGGTAATTAACCATTTTTATTTCTAACACAGTTGAATAAACCTTCAAGTGTCCAAGCCCTTCCTCCCCTTGTCCAATTCTAACTGAAAAGCTGTTGTTGCCTAAACACCTATTGTTGCCTAAACACACAAGCGCAAAAGAAGTCCAGCCTCGGGGCAAAATAAAACTAAAATAATTGCTCGGCTAGGCTAAAAAAACTCATGATGTGTGTTTGGGTTTGGCCTAAGCACGATGACCGTGGCCAATTTGGGTTTTTCCAATAAGCCCGGCGATACTCTTCGACTTTCAACCATTTGTTTCATCAAACTGTTCGGAGTGACAGCAGTCTGAGGGCTTCCTTTGTGTACAAAGTGAGCTTGCCAGAGTCCAGAAAAGCTGGATATTTTTTTCCCTTGTGCTGCCCTGTCCCCTCCCTGGCTTTCTTGACCTTTGGATCTGCAGAGACAATCCATCTCTCCCCCTCCGGGTGTCTTCAGCTCTTCCACCAAAGGCCGTTCAAATTTGCAGAGGGATCCCCAGGCAGTCTGGAGGCCTTATCTCAAGGGGTTTGCAAGGCAGGGCAACGTTCGACTGGACTCAAGGCTGCCTCTCCGGGTTCTGCAGTTGGGAAATCCGCTTTGGGGGCCTCAATTCTTGAGCATTGTCAGGAGAGCCCGATACGTTCACAGACTCTTTGGAGAAGAACGGGGGTCCCCAAACGTGGCAACTTTTAAGACTCGTGGACTTCTACGCCCAGAATTCCCCAGATAGTCCACTTCTCTTCAAGTTGGCATGTTTGACAAACATTGCTTTAAGTCAGGGGTCTCCAAACTTGGCAACTTTAAGGCTTGTTGGAGAATGCCCAGAATTCTCCAGCCAGCATAGCTGGGAGTTGAAGTCCACAAGTCTTCAAGTTGCCAAGTTTGGAGTCCCCTGCTTTCAGGGAAGATAGTTCCCAATAGTCCACAAGGGTGGGCCTCTTCATTCGTTAGCCCACTCTGGTTCACCCTTCTCTCCTTCCATGTTAGCACATAGGTGGAATTTAACTATTGGGTGGGGTGGGAGAATGGGCTAAGGAACTAAAGGATGAAGAGGCCCACCCTTGTGGATTATTGGAAATTCTGTCCCCTTAATAGAACATTTGTCAGACTTGGCAACTTCAAGAGAAGTGGACTTTCATGTGGCTCCCCGGGGGATTCTGGGAGTTGACATCCACAAGTCTTAAAGTTGCCAGGGTTGGGGACTCCTGGTGTAGACGGTCCAGGATGCCTCCCCCAGAAGTGGGCTGAGTGGCCGGAAGCCCAGATCGGCCTCTTATGCTACCACACCTCCTTGTGACATCTCAAACAGGGCTTGGAAGACGGTGGTCTTAGAGGAAGGATTCAGGAAAGGGGCCCACATCGCTTTCAGCAAACTCCCATCTGGGGTGTTCTGATGGTCTGCTGTTGCTGCTCTTCCTTCTTTCTGTCTTTCCTTCTCTCTTTCTTTCTTTCTTTCTTTCTTTCTGCCTCTTTCTCTCTTTCTCTTTCTTCTCTTTGTCTCTTTTCTTTCTCTTTCTCTTCTTCCTTCTCTTTCTGCCTCTTTTCTTTCTATCTCTTTCTTCTCTTTTTCTTCTTTCTTTCTTTCTCTTTCTCTTTTCTTTCTCTCTCTCTCTTCTTTCTTCTCTTTCTTTCTCTTTCTCTTCTTTCTCTTTCTTTCTCTTTTCTTTCTCTTTCTCTCTCTCTTTTCTTTCTTTCTTTCCTGGAAATCAGCTGTTGATTACATTAGTTATTTTTAGTAGCATCCGCCAAGCTCAGACACTCATCCCAGAGTTTCGGTTTAGATATAAATAGCACCTGTTTATTAATACTTAAAACAAATTGGGGAGCAGCTTTCCTGCGAATCATTTTTCTGTGAACTAATGATTGTACATTGACCTAAAAGAAATGGGGTATTATTTTTTCTTTTGCTGGGGAAATAATTAGGCTTTCTTGGGGGGGGGGAGTAAATGTGTCTCCTGCTCCCCCGAAAAAGCCTAATTTTTTCTGATTAATTAAAAAGATTCCCAGGGATTTACACACTGTGGTTCACCACAACCTGTTGCCTTCCCTGGAAGGGTGAAATCTTCTCCTTAAGTTTAGGCTCACAAAGTTTTTTGCAGTTAAATTTTTCCACAAATCTTTATATGGTGCCTTAAAGGATGGGAGGGGGAGGAGGAAGAGAAAGAGAAGGAGAAGGAGGAGGAGGAGGAGAAAGGGAAGGAAGAGGAGAAAGAAAGAAAGAAAAAAAGAAAGAAAGAGGCGAGCAGTTGGAGAGCTCCCCCTTCGGCCGCTGCAGCGAAGGCGGCGCAGCGGAGCCGAAGGAGGAGCTGCAACGGGCTGACGTGCAAAACGGCCGCGGAGGCGGTGCAGCCTTGCACTCTTGCAACGCGCGTGGCGTGCATTTGCTGCGACGGCTGCGCACATACACACACACAAACACGCGTGGGGGAGGGGAGGGGGCCGGGCAGAGCCTCCAGCGCAGGGCGATCCTCCCCGGAGCGAGCGCCAAGCGGCCCCCGGGCGCAGCTCGCCAAGCGCAAAGACGCGCCGAGCCGGGCCGTAAGCGCATGGCCACGCCGGGAGCCGGGGCGCCCGGAGGTCCGCGGGCAGCCCTGGAAGACCCCGGCCCGCCGCCCCAGCCGCCTCCCGGGGGACCCCAACCCGCGGGGAACCCCCAGGCCCCTGGAGAGCCTCTGGCCGCGGCCCCCGCGCCGCTCCCCGCGCCCCAGCCTTGCGCCGCGCCCGAGCCCAAGTTCCTGCCGCCCCAGGCGCAGCCCGCGACCCCCGCCGCCCCGCCCGGCCCGGGCCTGGAGGACTATTCGTTCTTGCCCCTGGTGCGCGACATTATCAAATGGTAAATGCCCCGCCGAGCCTCCGGGAACAGGGGCAGTCTATCTTGGAGGGGAAAGGGGTGGAGGAAAGGCGGGTTTCCAGGGGGGGGACTCTCCCACGCATCCCGGGAAGGGGGTACCCCCTCCCCGTTTCAAACTTGAGATCTCCAGCAAGATTGGTTCCCCCTCCCCCCCATTAGATCTCTACCCAGTTCAGGATTTGAATCTGCATCTGTGGCCCAGTGGATGGAGAGCATCCTGGTGCATAGCTGGCAGGGCTCAGTTCCTGCCACATCTGGGCAACTGGAGGCTTCTGGAGAGGGAGGAAGCGGGATTCGGAGCCCGGCCTAGCCCGAGCTTGCAAAATCTTTCCCTTGCCATCTTTTATTGGTTTTATTGTTAAATTCGTAATAATGTATTTATATACCATCCGTCCACGCTTTATCCATACTGGCTGGGGAGTTCTGGGGATCCAGGTAGGCCCACCTGCAGGTGGCTCAGGTCGAGCAAGTCAGCTGTGGACCAGACTGAGCCAACTGGATGCAGAACATCTCAACATCCGGAAAACATCCCAAGCTGTAAATCAGAATTTAAGGATGATGCTAACACAAGGCTAAAAGAATAAGATGGACGTTTGCCACTAAACATGTCCAAAGGGTCCAAAGAGAGGATGGGTTTTTTTTTTAAATATCATTCCTAAATGTTGGTGGTTGGGGAGAGCAATTGCACCCCTGGATGAGGAGGGACCCTTCAGAGAAGGCCTATCTGGACTTAGAATAACTTTATAACTTTTAGACTTAGAATAATATACAGTAATGTGGGTATATGCATATTTATTTTTTTATTTTATTTATATATGCGACATTTCATTCTGATGTATGCCAATTAGTGTACATTCAACGTGACAGTAAAGTTATTCTAAGTTGTCTAAGTCTGGATCTTCACCCCCACCCTTGCAAAATGAATTTTTTGGGGGGGCTATTCCTTCCCACTAAGGACGCAGAATAAATATTTTGGTTTTCTGCCTGCCTGCTTTGCAAAAGCCGATTTACTCTAACCTTTGGTTCCCCGCCAGCTGCTAATGGAAAAGTCCCAAATATAATGCTTTCTTCCAAGGGACGTGGGGGTTGCTTTCAGCGCGGGGACGCAGTTCTCTTGTTTTCAAAACAGGAGATTTATTTCTGCAGTTAGCAACTCTTGTGCTCGCTTGCTCTCTGCGCCTTCCTCCTCAAGGTTTGTTTATTTTTTATATTTCATACTTCCTAACCGCCCATCTCGCCGTGATTCCTTGGGCCATCAACACAGAGTGGTGGGGGAAGGGGGCTGGGGGAACCGGGAGTAAGAATAACGGGCTGCCTTGATTCAGAGAACTGGGTTTTGGGGTTTGTGGGCAGATGGGGAGGGGCAAAAAACCTGGAGTTTTTAAATTTTCCCATTTGAAAAACGATTAAAACGGGGGGTTTTTCAATGGAAGTCATACTCCGAGAGCAACCAAGGATAGCGAAGTTCGCCTTGCAGCCAGACGAGCAGCCAACCGGTTTAATAAACAAATAATTAATAAATAAAGTCCTGTTCGAAGTGACTGGCATGAAATAAAAGGGAAAGAAATCAAAACGACAGAGAATTAAAATCCAGGATGCTAAATAGAGGACTGGTTTTTTTTTTTTTTTTTAAAGTAAGCTTGTGGCCAAGAGCTCGCTTCTTTCAAAAAAAAGAATCAGAAAAGATATTTTAAAAACTATTAATTAAAATTTCTCCCTCCAAAAGATTGGAAGGTTGCACAGTTCCCTGGCCCTTCCTTGCTTGTATGTACGTAATGTTGGCAGTTAACCAAAGGAATTTATTTCTTTCCTGCTTCCCATTTCTTTCTTTCAGCATGAATAAAGACAGCCAGGAGGTCCACCAGTTGCTGAACGAGCTGAGGACTAAATTTGTGGAGACCCACAAACTGATCAAAAGCATCCAAGGGATCAGCCTGAGCCCCGAACAGCAGCAGCAGCAGCTGCACAACCTCCGGGAACAAGTCAAAACCAAGAACAAACTCCTGCAGAAATATAAGACTCTGTGCATGTTTGAAATCCCCAAGGAGTAACGGAGGAGACATCGCTCGCTCTGCAAACCGGGCAGTCCCTCTGAAGTGACCTTGGCCAGACATGGGGCCCTGGAAGGGGCGTGGACTTCAACTCCCAGAATTCTGACCGGGGCTGGGGAATTCTGGGAGTTGAAGTCCATGCCTCTTAAAGGGACCACATTTGAAATAGAAGGGGTGATGGCCTTGAAACAGAACGTCATGGATGTTCTGGTGTGCAATTAGTGAGCTCAATAGGATGTGATTGTGCAAAACTCACTTTTACCTGGTGGGAAGTGGGGGTGGGGGTGTCTGTGGGCCGGTTCCTTTGCAATTGCCAGAGTGTGCCACTTCATCAGAAAGAGGGTTTCACCTTGGCTGCTCCCTGCATTAAAAGCGAGAAAAATTCAAACCCCAAAATCGGGGAATGAAATTTCACGTTTAGCTTTCTACTTGCTAAAAAGTTGATTTATTGCGGTTTTTATTCCCTGCTCTTCCTAGTTAACGCCTTTCACCCCTCCAGCCCCCTGTTTGACACCTCCCCGCTCTGTGGGTGAGAAGTGGTATGTTCCAGGTGGAACTGTCCCACCCAGTCTTCATGTATGGCTGATCTCAGAATTTTTAAAGGGGAAGGGACCACTTTATTGAGTGGGAGGGACGGTCGGTCTGTGAATCCCGTTTTTCTTTCTTTTTTAAAATTTTTAAACCTTTATTGAAATTTGAAACATTAAAAAAGAAGTAAATCTAAAAATAACTTTGTATAGTTCTCCATCTTCTTTGACAGTACTAAAAATTCTTGGTTATATTCATATATTTCCATACATTTCTAATTATATACATATACATATTTATATCTTCTTCTGATCTATACATTTCTTATTCCTACTATCTATCCATTGATACCAGTTATCCCAAATGGAATACTATTCCGAGTCTTCCTTATTGTTTAATGAGCTTGTCCATTTCTGCGCAATCAAAAAATTTTGGGATTACTAAACAATCTGTCGGTTACAGTGGCCATTTCCCAAGATTGTGTGAGTGTAATTCTTGCTGCTGCGGTGATGTGTAAAATCAAATATTTTATCTTTTTTAGGATACTTTCCCTTAATAATCCTCAATAGAAACAATTCCGGCTTCAATTTTATTCGGCAGTGTGTAATTTCATGTAACCATTTTTGTATTTTGATCTAGTATTTTTTAATTTCCGGGCAAAGCCGCCATACATGGAAAAAGATACCTTGCGCCTGTTTATATTTCCAGCAATTAGGGTTTAAATTTGGATACATTTTTACAAGTCTTGTTGGGGTTAAATGGCAACAATAAATGATTCCCATTTTTGGGGTGGGGGGGGATTTTTCTTAATGCAGCAAAGCAGCGAGGAAGAAAATGGGAGTAGCGTTTAAACCCTTCAGCAATTTTTAAATCCACATGAATTAAACTTATATGATATCAATCATCCGTTTCCACGGAAGGCGTCATTGATGGAGAAGGCCTTCATTTATCCATGTGTGGATGTCGTTACAAGTATTTTTAGGTTGTTTGTAGGGCAATCTTAATGGCTTTGCTTAAAAAAAATGGGAGGGGGGAAGATGGTGGATTATATTAATATTCTGGGGTTTCCTGTGCACCCCCCTCCCGCCCTGCTGACATGGCCTGTCATGTCTTAACACTCCTGATTTATTTTACTTACGTCGTTCTTCGTCGGGTTTGCCAGCTGTGCAGCCTTTTCGCTTCAAAAATAGCCTTCTTTAAACAGGCGGTGTGGATGTGTGCGTGTTTTTATCACAAAAATCACTGCATCATCTCAACTTTGATAGGATGAAAAGACAGAAATCTGATCTCTCGGCTGTTTAAGGCTGATCCGGGATTATCTTAAGCTTCTTGCTCGCCATTCTTTCAATCCTGATTCTTAACCATGTTGGGGGGGGGGGTTGTTTTTTTTTTTTAATCATGTCATTCCCACCCACCCCCTTTGTTTTTCTCCTTTCTTGGTTATGTGTAAGAAGGTTGATTTCCTCCACCCCATCCCTCCTTCCTAGTACCTTAGGACGGTGACTGTTAATTAAAGCGACACTGAGTGACGTCAGGGCTTCTGTAATTAATGTTATTTCTAGTCTGTGAAAGTCATTAATAAAAATAACTTGCAATTTCAAAGAATTGAACGCAGTTTGGGCCCTGTCTTTTTGAAACTCAGGGACTTTAAAATGGGTGAACTCCCAACTCGCAGGATTCCCAGCCAGCAATTCTGGGAACTGAAGTCCATCTTAAATTTCCCCCACGTGCTACCCAGGGACTCCCCTTCCTTCCTTCCTTCCTTCCTTCCTTCCTTCCTTCCTTCCTTCCTTCCTTCCTTCCTTCCTTCCTTCCTTCCTTCCTTCCGCCTTGCCTTCTTATTTACTTATTACCTACCTACCTACTTACTTTTTCTCTTTCCCGCCCATCTCACTACCCAAAGCCACTCTTTGGGGGGGTGGGAATCTTTGCGAAAAGAAATTCTTGGGAGAGGCCCACTTCAGGTGTCCAGCGTCAGGTATGTGAATCCAGCGTCTTGGCCTCCTCCCAGCATCTCGTGAGATGAAAAGTTTATTGTTCTTCTCTACTCCAGACCAGGAGTGCGAGAAAGGCAATTATGGGAAGGGTTGGGCTGAGCACATTGGAGGGGTCAGCGAGGTCTGGATTCCTGCCATTCACCCTTGGTACATTTAATGCTCCCTGGCAGAGCTGGGCAGCCATGTGGACTTTGCAAAGGCTGGAAAATTTCCACTGGGTAGCTGAGGCCCTTGGTATTTACGGCTGTGTGGAAGACTGATGCCAGAGAAGATGGCGTGGAAAGTGGGGAGAGGAATAATGACCTCACGCCCTTTTATTCAACTTCATTTTCCGTTCTTCCAATGACTTCATCACCCTTCCCTGAACACCGTTTCTTCATCGGTTGTTTTAAGAACCCACCAGCCTCTACCTTCTTATTAGTAAGGGTTGTAGTAACTGCAAATTGTCCCCAAAGCCCTTAGTACAAATGCAGGTGCTTGTTTACCCCATCAGCATCCACAGCTTGGAAAGCTGAGGTCAGACACAAAGAGGGCAGGTCTAATGTTTGGGTTTATAGACCATCTTTTTTCTCAAGACCAGCCCATCTGCTATTTTTCTCCCATTGCAAGTCTTTAAGGCAGAAGTGGGATTTGAACCCAGGTCCTGAGCAGAGGTTCCTGGCAGCCTCCTTTGCAAGGGGTCTCAACAGGATCTGAAAGCTGTTGGGATGGGAAAAGAGGACGCTGCCCATCAAACCCAGCAGCGATATTGAAAACAGGTCAAGTTTCTCAAGTCTTTTTAAGAAGGACCATATTATAAAGACTGGTGGGACTGTGACCTACTCTTGTGTAAGAGAAATCCAGAGGAAGCTTTTCATGTCATTCATGGTGGCAGGAAATTCTGGGAGTTGAAGTCCAACACAACTTCAAGTCACCACGTTTGGAAGTCACGGTCTCATACTGTATATGTCTTTCAAGAGGTCTTCCTTGGCCTTTGCGGGGACTTCCTTTTATCTCAACAACTGCAACTTGCTAAGGTGGGCCAGGCTGAATAAAAGGCTGGTCCACAGACCCCTGGGAGGGGTCTCCAAGGCCAAGGGTGGAGTCGAATGTGGGTCTCCACAATCCTAGTTCAAAACTCCTGATCGCAGCCCCTTAATATCTCCAGCTTCAACTGGGCATCCTGAAGGCACCAGTGACCGTTGCTGATGGAACCTCAGGAAACCCGCTGTGTAAGACCACCGTCGTTGAGCCCCCAAAACTCAACAGGTACCTGTAGCAATGCAGCCCCCCCGTTTCTTTCACCCCACCAAAGAAGTCAACACCAAAGTTGTTTTTTTTAATTTTCAAAAGCTTTATTTCATAGAAAAAAAACAAACCCTCGCCCCGATATAACAAAGAACCGGTGTCAAACATCGTCAAAGCAAGATGTCAATCTTGACAACCCCCGGATAATTCTACATGTGTGTATAAAGTGCCTCTTGGCTTTAATGCAACGCGGTTGTCAATCGGGGCCCAGGAGTGTAAACAGTTTTTCCAACCGCTTCCCTGCTGGGTCTCCCCTCCTTCTGTGCTCCCACCCAATGCCGGGGGGGGGGGCGGAGGGGGGAGAGAAGAAGCCATGGACAATTTTCAGCAGCAGCAAATTAAACTTTTCCACGTGCTCAGAGGCAGCACACAAAAAGCATCACAGACACAGCCATAAGAAAGTCGGGGAGTTCCACTAGCCACTCCACCAAGTCCCCCCCCCCCCGTGCCCCCCCCCATCTTTTTGACCACAGACATAGGCTTGAGTGGTCTCCTTGCCACCACTGAAGTCTGCAATGTCCCCACCTCCGGTCTCAGGCCCCGGCTGGACGGTTCAGCTTCACCTCCAACTCTTGCGAAGAGGAAAATAATCGCGGGGAGCTGATGGCAGAGTTTGTTCCTCGTGGAGAGCGAGGAGGCGCCCCCTCCCCGTGTCCCACAGGCCCAGCCCGAAGGCTTGCATGCCCCCCAGACGGGCTGGCCGAGTTTGGATAGCCAAAGAACCTCTTGGCTCCTTGCTTGCTCAGGAAGGTCCGAAGGCCGGCAAGGAAACCCTTAGCTGATGACGCAGCGCTCCTTCTCCTTGGCCTGGCCGCCTCGGATGGCCTTCTCCCGGATGTACATGAGGTCGCTGTGGACGCTGGGCCGGCGAGCGAAGGGGGCCACGATGCCGTAGGCTTCCCCAGTCCCACCCCCAGAGGGGTCCTTCAAGAGCTTTTTACCCTTGAGGGTCTTCTTTTGCAGAAGGTCACAGTACTGGACGGAGACTTTGCGGTGCAGATCTGGGCTCATCTCGTTGGGCAGTTTGGCCATGGTGAAGAGCGCCCGGAACATCTCATCCAGGCTGCTGTTCTTCTTGGCCGAGATCTCAAAATAGGGACACCGCTTGGAGTCCTGGCCCAACAGCTGCTCGATCTCTCGGGATTCCACCTCCCGGTAGAAGTCCCGGTCACCTTTGTTCCCGCAGACGACCAGAGGAACCTCAGTGTCCTCCTTGGTCTTGTTTTTCAGGCAAGACTTGGTTTCCAGGATCTGCTGTTTCAGACGTTGGACTTCCTCAAAGGAGTCCCGGTTGTCCAGGCTGAAGACGAGGATAAAGACGTCTCCTGCAGGAGAAGGAGGAGAAAGGGAGAAGGTTAGGCATTTAGAAGTTTCCAAACTTCACTTGTTGGGGTTATGCAATGCTAGGGAAAGACCAGCCAGAAAGGAGGGGACTACAAGGCACGGTTCTGAACTCAATTCAACTTTCTTGCCAATGCTGATTTGATTCTCTCTCCTCAACTTTTCATGTGTTTTGGAAGCATCAGCCAGAAAACCCACTTCAGATCAGAAATGCAGCACTCCGGCTATATCAGGGGTGCCCAAACTTGGCAACTTGAAGACTTATGGACTTCAACTCTTAGAATTCTGGGAGTTGAAGTCCACAAGTCTTCAAGTTGCCAAGTTTGGAGACCTCTGGTCTATATTGCTGCAAGAGCCGTAAAAGTACATTTTTGTAGTGATCCAGAGGCATTATCCCCTGGGCTAATTTAGGAGAGACTAAAGAGGCTGATCCTTTTCTTATCAGCTTCGGCTTTCTACAAAAGGTTTTCGTTTGTTTCCCTTTTCTTTACAACTCCAGAACAATCAGATTGCAA